CAAACCATAAGCTCTATTGGAGGTGGTAACTTATGGCCAAGTATGCAGAACATCACCTTCTATCACTGAAGAGTATTTTGCATAGGCATTTACATGAGCAGGGCAGGGGATCGAACTGTAGAGGCAGAAGGATAAAGTTCACAAGAAGTGTCGCTTACCAGGTTCACCGCGATCACTTAAGAAAACCATTTTCGCTGCGCCGTCTCACTCATTTCACCTTGACCTAACGCGCGCCCACCATGGAACGCTTGAACTGCGCTGAGTGCAAGATGAATGGAACCTGCCAGGGAACATTTAAAAAGTCTCCTCCGATTAGCTTGGCAAAGGCAACCAATGGCAAGCTTTTGCTATGAATGCAACCATAAGGTGTGTGTTCAGTCTTCTGTTATCTCTAGATACTGAATGTGTTAGGTTAAGTTTAGCGCCGCGCCACTGTTTTCCACCGATTACCATTGTTACCGTTTCCCTGTTTGAAGAACTTGGTGGAAACGGATTGACACGCAGCCAAACGCAGTCCCCAGCTACGCCTCAGCTTCTGCAGTGAAAAGGACTGTACTACGGTGGAAAGTATTCCGCTCATAGAGCGCACCAACAAAGTGTACTGATATGTCCCTCTCCACTGGTACCAGCTCTTCCGGGCTGGCCTGCTGGCCACGCTGTTCATCAGTTATAGAGTTTCCATATGCTCCAGCACCTCCGGGAGATTCAGGTGGACCTAGACGGAAACCATTGCGCGACAAGTGAAAGCACTTTCTCCACTGAATTCTCCACCACTATGGTACACTTGATATGGTCGCAATCAGTCTGGGCAGTGTAATGGAGGCATGGAATGTGCCCTTTCGCGTAATTTTCTACCACTTGGTGTTTTATCTCTTAACTGAAGGGTGCGTTCCCCCCCCCTCTCCCTCCTTAACCGATCACAATTGGTAGCAAACGCAACCGGGCATGTTTATACCACACCTGCAGACACCGCCTCGCCTGGCTGGAGCAAATCAACAATAAGTAAAGCCATGATTATAAGCGTCGAGCTCAATGAAGCCTACAGTATCTGCGTCAATTTGAGGAGCTGCGTAGTTTCCAGGGCTGATTCAAGTGCATACGAGTTTCTAGATGCTTTCGCTTTGACACTGGAGGACGCAGAGCTTCTAGCTTTCTGGACGATCTCACTACAGTTCCGGATTTTCGACCTCTTGAGCGTCAAGTCATGTGGCATTCCATTCACGTAGGTTCGGCAGTATTTGAAGCTATGAGGGCTGAACGTAGTATGCAAGGCAGACGTCAAGAGAACCCACTAGTTCAATGGAAAAACGGATAATGCCATTCAATTGTGCTTGTAAATGAATATTGAGGGGAATATTTGTTCAATTTTACTGGTTCAGGAATCCAGGGTCAGAAAACCGAAAAATAGACGATTGCAAAACCACACGACATTGTACAATTCTTGGCTGAACTTTTATTTCGGATGATGTTTAACGCAATAAATTTCCATTAACACGTTGACGACGAGCCATTTTTCACATGACTTGCGCGTGGGACGGCACATTTTTCTTCGATGAAACTTGGTGATTTCCAAATGACACGGGTCAAATGAAGAGTCCGAACCTGTGAAACTGAGCTTTTATGGTCGATGGTAGATCTGGAGGCTTATTCTCAACAACCATCCACCCTATATTCTTTCGCTGATGAATGGTGAAGTGCTGCTCGATTTGACACCGAGCTGTATTCTGTTCTGAGATGCGGAAGTAAAACGGCCTCACTTCTTCAAACTTTGATCCCAAGAAACCGTCAAAACCGCTTTCTAATCATTTCAGTTTTCATGCCCCAGATTATGCAAGGTTAAATGGCTAATAAACGGATAAACAAGCGAAATCGTGCGACTAGGGCGGAGCCACACCAGTATAAAACGTAGGAATGTCACCGGACAGCAACACAATGTTCGAGGAAAAACTCATCGTTGGTGTGGCTTCGGCCTGCTCCATCCTGGCCATCGCTGCCTGCTTGATCGTGGTCCCGTCGCTCTACAACACCATCAACGAGATTCACGATGAGGTCCTCGAAGCTGTTTCTGTGTTCCGCGTCGAGACTGACTCTGCCTGGAGCCAAATGATGGACTTCCAAGTCACTGTCGCACCACCGTCAAAGCCTCGTGAGAATCCATTCGGCTCCATCTTCCGATCGAAGAGACAGGCCGGTCTTCCTTCTTACTGCCAGTGCACGACTCCAACGGTCAACTGCCCACCTGGACCACCTGGACCTCCTGGACGACCTGGAGCGCCTGGTTGGTTGATAATTTTTGTTTCCGTATTTGTTCAAACTAAAAACCACAACTTTCAGGACAGCCCGGAGCACCTGGTCAACCTGGCAACGACGCCACTACCACCTACCGTCCCATCATTTGCAACGGTCCCCTCATCCCCTGTGTTCAGTGCCCAGCTGGTCCTCCAGGACCACCAGGACCGAGTGGAGCTCCTGGAAACAAAGGACCTGATGGCAACCCAGGACGTCCTGGAGGACCCGGAAATGATGGTGGTCCAGGTCCAGCTGGACCTCCCGGAGATGCTGGAGCACCAGGAAACCCTGGATCTGCTGGACAGCCTGGAGAGCCTGGAAGACCTGGTACTAGTGGAGCTGGAACTCCTGGAAGACCAGGACCTGCTGGACCAATTGGAGCTCCAGGAAAAGCCGGAGGACGCGGAAATGAATGGCGCTCCTGGAAATGCAGGACCACCTGGTCCAGCTGGTCAGCCAGGAGGACCAGGAAACCCTGGAAGAGATGGTCAGCCCGGAAGAACTGGAAATCCCTGCTCGTCCAGGAGGCGATGCTGCTTACTGCCCATGCCCACCTCGCTACGCCAAAGCTGCTGCTCGTCGTGCTCGTGTCTGATCTTCTGCATTTCAATAAATATTCTAATCTATTGCAGTTTCTTGACCGTCAACTAGCTCAACATCACTAAAAAAACAAGGGAAAAGCTTGGGAAGCTTAAGTTCATATAGGTACATTCACCACATCTGTCGATTGCAAGGCGGGAATCGATGTTTCTACGTGAATTTTCTTAAAAGAGGGAGCCAACCTCCAAATGCCACCACCAATTCTCTCGACTCGTACTTTCGAACTCTGGCCTATTTAATGCCGACCTTTGAATGTCGGAGAATCAGTGAAAGCACAAGGAAATATTGACGCCTTTGGATTTGGCCTAATAAAGGACTTTTCGGTGTTAAAACGGAATTACTTTTGAACTGCATTCCCTTTTTCGAAAACCTTTGTTCACCGATCACAGAGATCCTTTACGTGGCATCATTATCGCACAAGCAGTCCTTTAAATGACCCTTTCTCCTCTCCCAACAAGGACAATCAAGAAAATATGTTGTGGTAACAAGGAAAACACAATTTCGCAAAATTTTCGAATTTCTGCTTCGGGGGCCTAAGGTGTTCCAGGGGACATTGGACGAAAGAGAAAACGTTGCACCGTTCTGCAGGTTGATGGACAGTCAAGCGGAGCCCAAACTGACCAGCAGTCAAAGTCATTCGAACTAACGAAAACAAGTTGAGAGTGGTAGTGTACATTAGTGAGCACAGTTGATATCACCGCAGTCACCGAGGGAGGGGGGGGGAGGTGCCTGTAGGGTAAACGCGAAGCTCGCCTGGCTGCCTTATCGGTACTCATTGATTCAGGGAAAAAGAACCAGTAGTAGGGAAACAGCGAACGGATTTGCGTCGTTCGCTGCTACCCCCGGCAGATTACAGCGAATACCGACAGTGCAGGAACATATACTTCTAGTCGAAAAGTATCAGCAATTTAATCCAAAAGCTGAAGGCCCAGAAACAATTTAAGATTCATTTGTGAAGGGAAATTGAATCATTTCATAATATTCAAGATGAGATGTATGCGGAATCGCCTAGAAGGAATCCGCGTAGCTGTTATAAGAATTCCCCATACCGAAAAATATTCTTGACACCATAATGCTCCTTTCTCCTTCCACCAACAGACTGTACCCAAATCATAGTACCGCTGAGGGCGGGGGGGCCTTTGGTTTGACGGTGATGCATTTGCTGCGTCCCCCTCAATTAGTGCCGATGTCTGTGGAGGACCTGCACGTTCTATAGAGCACTGTTGCAATAGCACTGAACTTTGTCTACAGGATTTACAGGTGTCAGCAAGTTGAGACGTGTAATTCAACGGAACTAGCAAGAGGAGCTGGGTGGAGTGCACAATGGCACCCCTAAGCGCCCACAGAAACACAACAACACCCCGTTCATCCTCAGTTGGAGCGGCCACGTCAGCACCATGATCAAAATATTATTGAGCCACAACAGTGCGCAACAAGACTATGTGGGCAACCCAAAGTTTTGGTTCCTAGGAAGGCGGGGACATCAGTTATAGCCTGTATGGATCCTCTACTGTTCAATTTCTTGATGTGAATACTGGGTGTTTCTTTAGTTAGCACAATTGTGGGCTATTGCATAATTAAGAGATGTTAGAAAAGATTCTCCTTCACAAAAGTATGGAAAAAAAACAGAAATATCTTTCTATTCAGGGGGAATGATAGCTTTACCAGCAGGGTACGGCGTCGTTCAGAGGGTCCCACGTAGGGGGAGGAGAGTCATACTTCTCGTAGAGGGAACTTTTTACTGGATCGCGGTTACTAATATCGGCCGTTCTTTTTCTCTCCGCGTAATCTGTTGTGGCAGAGAGGAGGATTAGAGAAAACAGTGTAGGAGTCGGAGGAGGAAACCTTAGGAGATGAAAAACATTTGAGAATGAAGGGGGGCGGGCGTACTGACACGCCGCCCATTTGACTTTCCACGATGTTGTGATGCTATATTGTGTTCTCTAGTGTTCTTGGTTATCTCCAACATGTTCTCCAATATGCTCTCATTCGATCTGCCCTACTTTACTCATACAATTTAAAACGATACGCGCGGCATTACATGCCACCGCACACTGGGTTAAGTTGTTGTAATAAAATCGAAATGTCGGAGATTGTCTCCGTTCACCATCCCAGACCTGCCATACGGTCTCGGACTCGACTGAATTCCTAAGCGAAGGGGCAAGATTTAGAGGAGTTTCCCCTGAGGGCCCAAACACAGGGTTAGCCCTTTCTTCACCCGCTTAAAGCTCAGTTCGGTCAAGAGGCGAAATAGTCACCGAGAAAATCCCCAAAACGTATTCATGATTTAGCTAGCGGAGACGGTATTCGGCCGTCTCTGAGCAGTGCGCCTGGAAGGCTCCCGAGGAAGGCACCCACCCTACCAAGCTGCAACATACCGACCCGCCCACCGCGCCCGCCCGCCCACAAATGTCCGACCGATGCTGATGCTCGTATCGCTTCATTTGCGAAGTACAGTATGAAGCGGGATTGATATGAAGCGGCTGCGGTGCTGCATGGATATATGAGTACATGCATGCGGCCGCACCTACTGTAGCGTTTACTAGCACGATTCCAACAGGAAACTCGTCCGCAATTGCTTTCCAATTAGTGTAGAACAGAGGCTTTTTGCAGATTCTGACCGCTTCATTTTGCTATTTCGTTTTTCCCACTGTGTACACCCCTACCTTTTCGAATCCAGTTATCGCGCCTTCTGCCTTAAAGCTCTTTAAGCAACAGAAAAACGTTATCTTGCACTTGACAGGCATTTTGGCTGAAGTGTTTTGGTGATATACCACTTATGCAGAGATGTACCCGGAAATACAATTTAGGGGTGAAGTCATAGAATGGATCTCTCCCAAGCCAGTCAAGCTTCCTCCCCCTGGCCTCCCGTCGTCTGAATAGGGCTGGTAAGTGGATGAGGCTTCTTCATGTAATGGGAAGCTTCCCATTACATGAAGAATGAGTATTCAAAACTAATGAACATCATTCTTCATGTAATGGGAAGTCTTCCCATTACATGAAGAAAGATGTTTATTAGAATACTCATGGTCAAAGCTTAAGTGCCAAGTGCGATAGCGGGCTTCAAATCGTCTCCGGGACGATTTTTCGCTCCTCTTTCAGCATTATTGGGAGTGCTAGGCAAGAATAATGTCTTTCTCAGTGATTAATTGCTGTACAAGGCAAAAAACCGCTTTGAAAAGACGCTCCATGATATGAGAGACATTTCTTACAAGAAGAGCTTTGAGGTAGAGCTTACGACCTTTGTAAGAGGATGGCTCGTTCGGTAGAGAGGCAAGCAAGACCTGTGCGCAGAATACAAGATTGACGGTTAATTTCAATGTAACGAGCATAGGTCACACTCACTGACACCCTTGTGCTTGCATGATTCGGATTTCGTATTGCCCAAACAGGCCCATTTCATAGCAAAACAACAAAAGAAGTGAAATTTTATTGAAATGCAGAAAATCAGACACGAGCACGACGAGCAGCAGCTTTGGCGTAGCGAGGTGGGCATGGGCAATAAGCAGCATCGCCTCCTGGACGTGCAGGGTTTCCAGTTCTTCCGGGCTGACCATCTCTTCCAGGGTTTCCTGGTCCTCCTGGCTGACCAGCTGGACCAGGTCCTCCTGGTCTGCCTGGTGCACCATCATTTCCGCGTCCACCAGCTTTTCCTGGAGCTCCGATGGGTCCAGCGGGGCCTGGTCTTCCAGGTGTTCCAGCTCCACTTGTACCAGGTCTTCCAGGCTGTCCAGGCTGTCCAGCAGATCCAGGGTTTCCTGGTGCTCCTTTGTCTCCGGGAGGTCCAGCTGGACCTGGGCCACCATCATTTCCAGGTCCTCCTGGACGTCCTGGGTTGCCATCAGGTCCTTTGTTTCCAGGAGCTCCACTTGGTCCTGGTGGTCCTGGAGGACCAGCTGGGCACTGAACACAACCGGTGTTGGGAGGTGGGCAGTTGATTGGAGCGTAAGTAGTGGTGGCGTCGTTACCAGGTTGGCCAGGTGATCCGGGCTGTCCTAAAAAATGTGGTTTTTAGTCCACTGTTAAGAAAGCAATAAAATGTTAACTAACCAGGTGCTCCAGGTCGTCCAGGAGGTCCAGGTGGTCCAGGTGGGCAGTGACCGTTGGAGTCGTGCACTGGCAGTAAGAAGGAAGACCGGCCTGTCTCTTCGATCGGAAGATGGAGCCGAATGGATTCTCACGAGGCTTTGACGGTGGTGCGACAGTGACTTGGAAGTCCATCATTTGGCTCCAAGCAGAGTCGGTCTCGACGCGGAACACAGAAACAGCTTCGAGGACCTCATCGTGAATTTCGTTGATGGTGTTGTAGAGGGATGGCACCACGATCAAGCAGGCAGCGATGGCCAGGATGGAACAGGCCGAAGCCACACCAACGATGAGTTTTTCCTCGAACATTGTGTTGCTGTCCGGTGACATTCTCCATCCGGTTATTAGCCGTTTAACCTAGCGTAAATTAGGTCATGAAAACTGAAATGGATAGAATGTGCTCCCACTACTTTCTGGTTGCTCTCGACGTGACAGATGATAATCGCCAGTTTCTCTTTAAGAATGTTATTAAAGCGTATAAGCTAGCTCAAGCCTTTTTCCGCTTAGAATGCTAACCCAGAGCAAACGGTCTGCTACTATGTTCTAACGGCAGGTTAGTGGCAGCTCCCAACCAAAGCGATAATGAGAAGGGAAGCTTGTCTAATGCTGATCGATTAGCAGGGAAAAAAAGGTGGTTCTGCGCTCTAATTGTCAGAATAGTACGACACCAATCAAGGATTAGACAGTCACTGCCAGATGCACAACATGTTCATGTTGCACGTAAACTAATTGGGACTTGGGCGATAGGCCATATGTAGGATTTTTGCGTGCAGAAAAATTTTCCCTCTGTTGAGCGTGAACTAGTAAAACTGCGGTTTGGCCAACAACGGCACAATCTCTCTGCTGACAGCAAGCACTCCATCCTTTCGATTCCGAGTTGAATGTAAGCTAGGAATGGCAGTGGAGTCGTATGCGGGACACTGTTTAAACTTTGGTTCGAGGATTACTCAGCCATCAAAATCGCTTTCTAACCATTTCAGTTTTTAGTGGTGACCTAGATTACACAAGGTTAAACGGCTAATAAACGGATAAACAAGAGAAATCGTACGATCAGGAGCAGTCGCTCCGGTATAAAAGGAAGAGAGTGCCACTGGACAACAACACAATGTTCGAGGAAAAACTCATCGTTGGTGTGGCTTCGGCCTGCTCAATCCTGGCCATCGTTGCCTGCTTGATCGTGGTTCCCTTCGCTCTACAACACCATCAACGAGATTCACGATGAGGTCCTCGAAGCTGTTTCTGTGTTCCGCGTCGAGACCGACTCTGCTTGGAGCCAAATGATGGACTTCCAAGTCACTGTCGCACCACCTTCAAAGCCACGTGAGAATCCATTCGGCTCCATCTTCCGTTCGAAGAGACAGGCCGGTCTTCCTTCTTACTGCCAGTGCACGACTCCAACGGTCAACTGCCCACCTGGACCACCTGGACCTCCTGGACGACCTGGAGCACCTGGTTAGTTAACATTTTATTGCTTTCTTAACAGTGGACTAAAAACCACATTTTTTAGGACAGCCCGGATCACCTGGCCAACCTGGTAACGACGCCACCACTACTTACGCTCCAATCAAT